AGGTCTGAGACAGAAAACAAAGTGTGGTGACATTTTCTTAAGAGGATATCCACATTATTTTTTAAATATAATCCATGCCCAACATATCAAATTCTACATTCACAACATTGATTATTAAATTATAATCATAATTATGTCTAAGATTAGAGTGAAATGACCTCTTATAAAATTTAAAGGTAAAAGCATATCATAGGTTTTTTATTATATTTTAATTGAGTGATGTGATGAATATGTTAAGATRTACAAATACATAATAATTTGCAATTTTATTTTATTCTTGTTAGCTTAACATTTAGACTTCAKAGTGAATATACCTATTATGAAACTTGATGGTTAGAACATTAACTGTGTTTTGTTGGAAGTATTTTAACAATAATTCCAACTAAACACAGATAATGTTCGTACATCAAGTTTCATAATAAGTTTATTCACTTAAATTGTTAAGCTAACGGAGTAAAACGTGATCTGCTGAGCGTACAATTTGTTATGTTAACCTAACACACCTATAGACATCAACAAAACATGCAGGTTTCACGTATTCTTAAGTGCATTTTTTCTCTATAGTAATTAGTAGCATTGTTACTAAAGGGTAGGCCGGTCGAGAATGTAAAATCCATATTTATATGTCTGTCAAAAAATTTATTAGAAAAATTTTCATTAAAATAATATAAATAGTTTATTAAAATTATTTTAGTTTACAGTGTACATTCAATGAATTAAACTGAATGTATCGGAAACTAAAAATACACACACAACAGAATACATTACACATACATTATTAATATTTAAAAATTWATTTTAATTGATTTATTACAATATGATACTATCAATACACATTAATCATATTTTWAATTTATTGAATTATGAATATCATTAAAACTTATTTTTTTAATTAAGAAGTCCAAAACAGGTTTTAACTTATACTATTAAAATAGTAAATATGAACAATTTAAGGTTTCCATAATCGTACCATACCATCTTCGCAGTAGGTACATAATAAATTTTGATGAGGATGATGCGTTAGTCCAATAACATCTTTTTCGTGTACTTGTAGGGTTTTTTCTAACTTTCCACTGTTTAAAGAAAAACAGTACAAATTATAATCTTCGGCAACTGCATATATCCAATCTCCCCTAGGCGACACCGTGGAACATACAAAATTGCAACCTTCGCGTTTACCACTAGTAAATGATCTGACAATCTAAATATATGCATTTTTTTATTAGTTTAATGTTATATATTTTAATTTTTAAGTGAGTTATAAGTACTATACCTTATAAGTAATATATAAAATATTAATATTTTAAAATGCTAGTAATTCACCTCATTGTTATAAAAACATAAAAAAAACAATGAGTGGAAGAATACAGGTAATTTATTTTTATTAAGTATGATAATAGATTAATTCACTCTGATATTTMAGATGACAATACAAAATTGTAACCATTATACACAGGGACACTCTTAGAGAACTATGTGCCCTGGGCAAGGAAAATTAATGAGCCCTCTAGTTCAGGTTAAGTAATTGAATTACAAAAACTAATATCTGAACTCTGAAGGAGCCCATAATAAATCATTGCCCACCCCTGACTGCACATACAGTTTAGCAAATTATTTGTTAGTAAGATAGAGACAATTTGTGGGTACAACATTCTCTTAATATATTACTTACTTGGCCTTGCATATTCATTATTACAATGGTGTTTGAACGATTACAAACAACGAAATGATCTTGATTTTTAGGAAAAAGATGYACATTGTTAACAGCCACATCGGCTGCTCCCATGGACTTAAAGGTGTGTGTACATTCAGTGGTTTTCACACTCCATACTTTTACAGTGCTATCGCTAGACGCACTATGCATGTATAAAATATATTATTGGAATGCATTTATATGCACATATTATATATTAAGAGAACGTCACACCTGCATGTGTTKTCTCCGTCGTACAAGTGCGTAGCAAAGAAAATTTTACATTCAGCAGATTACGTTTATCTCYGTAAGTTAAAAATTTAGAGCGAATTGACCTATTATAAAAATTAAAGGCAAGATTATTATCTAGGAAATCTCATGGGCTTTTTATTACATTTTAATTTTAAAGCCCATGAGATGCCCWAGATCAGCGGTTCCAAACCTTTTTAGCCAGCGGTGCTCTTTTGTTTGTACACATTTTGTTAGACGCCCTTCTGAAAATATCACGAGGAACGTGATTTAAATAATTTTATTGAACATATTATTAACAAATTATAATTTTATAGTTGAAAGTAAAAAGAAAAATTYTGCTTTAATAATGAAAAACTAATAATTAATGAGATATTTGAGGCTGCTTATTTTTGGAAAGTTTG